TTTTTTATAATTATTTTGTAATTTTAAATATGACGTGTAATATTAGTTTTAAAATAAAAAATTAATATGACGTGGAGTATTAGTTTTAAAATAAAAAATTAATATAACGTGGAGTATTATTTTTAAAATAAAAAATTAATATGACATGGAATATTAGTTTTAAAATAAAAAATTAATATGACATGGAATATTAGTTTTGAAATAAAAAATTAATATGATGTGGAATATCTTAGTTGGCAAAAGAAGTGGATGATGTCAACATTAATAGGTCACCAGGTCAACCAGACCCTTAAATAAACAAAAAGTTTGACAGAGACCCCTAAATGATAATTTTGAAAGTTGGTTCCCCAAAATAGAAATAAGATGAAAGTTTGTTCCATTTTGATGCAATTTTCCCAAATTTCAAATATGATTAAGATAATCATTGAGTTTTAACAAAATATTTAATTATCATCTTTATAAAAATTATATCATTAAACAAAAATAAATTACTTTGTTATTAAATCTAAATTAAATTTATAATAAAAAATTGAATCAAAGAAATTACACAGAAAACGAGAACTTTTAAATAGTTAATTTAAAATTAATATCGATACTTTTTTTCCAAATTTATATTTCGTTCAAAAATAAAAATATTATTGTTTTCTAAAACCACATAAAAACTTATTATATCGACAGAGAAAATGAATAAAATAGAAAATTAAAATCTAGATATATCTCGCTGCATACATTGCGCAAGTACCCTTCTAGTAATAATTAATATTAATGACATTTATAATTAGAAAAAATAACAAAAAACTCTCCACAAGCTACTTGTAACACCGATTACGCTAAATTCTTCATAAAAAGAAACTATTTATCCAAAATATTTTCATAAATTATATTCTCCAAGCAAATACGGGATATATATATAAATTATAGATTTCCACCAAAAATAAAATAACATAATCTGCACCCGACGATTTTAGGTAGTATAAGTTGGATCCATAAATACAAATATATCTATCCAAAAGCATTATATACCTAGATACAACTCAAAACGATATATGCACAGTGAGTACCAAAAGATGTCCAGGATCGGAAATCCTACAAGCAGATCTAAACTGTCTTATCCTTCCCTTGGACCGCTACCGACTTTCCTGAAAAGAGAGTTTATTCTAGRAGAATAAGCAACAAGGCTTAGTGAGATTATATCAAAGCTTATAAATATATATATTTTAAAAGAACGGTACAAGTCATAGCCGAAACAGAACAGAACAAATCATTTATTTATGAATTAGACCGTTAACTCAAATTCAATTTGATAGAATCTCGCCCAGAGCGCAATACAACCAGAGTCTCTGGTCTATTCCACAGAGGCTCTGTCGTCCAGAGGGCCTCTGTCCCAAAGGACTTGGAATCCATAGCACAATACAACCAGAGGCTCTGGTCTATACAACCAGAGGCTCTGGTCTATTCCACAGAGGCTCTGGTCGTCCAACGGGCCTCTGTCCCGAAGGACTTGGAGTCCAGAGCGTAGCAGCGGGCCTCTGGTCCCAAAGGACGGAGTCCGAGGCGCAATACAACCAGAGGCTCTGGTCTAGACCACAGAGGCTCTGGTCGTCCATCCATAGCGCAGGACAACCCCAGAGGCTCTGGTCTAGACCACAGAGGTTCTGGTCGTCCAGAGGGCCTCTGTCCCGAAGGACTTGGAGATTTGGCCATTTAAATCACGACATAAACACTTTGAATCTTTCATCCATAACATACATTGCCTATTAAGACTTTTTAGGATAATTAAAATCAACTACAACAACAAAATGTATCCAATACCAAAGGTATCACTACCAGAATAACCATGTGCACCACGCCCCTCTTCGTCTACCGGGCCCGTGCAAAGTATTCACACCCGGCTCCTTACCAATCGGGATACGTGAATACGACAACCGGTATGCCACACCCAACCTCCCTCTCCTTGGGATACGTGGACATACACCATGCTACGGCTTATCACACGAAGTAATACCCGTAGATCATGGTTTATCAAAAAGCCAAATAAACAGTCTCGGATCCGGACTCAACCACAAGTATAAGAATTAAGTAATACCAAACAGAATTAGAAAAAATTCACCTTACAGAATCACGCATGTAAAAACATCAACTTTTCAGTAAGAGTTCTTATATCTATACTATATATAAGTATAAGTTCGGTATAAACTCACAGTGCTTTATGAAAACAACCGAATGTTGTAATAACCAATTCCGATCAACAATAACAGTAAACCTTTAGAGGCTCTAAACAGTCTTAAAACAGCCCATGGAGTAAACATTTCAAGTATCAGAAACCAACTATATTCCAACCTCGAGTTATACACTTTAAATCTTGATTATCCTATTTATACTTTCTTGTACAGCCCCCTGTTCAACCCCTGTTTTACCACAYTTAGACCTAGATTTAGCCATTGACCTGAAAATACTAAATAAAGTATCCTCTTAAAGCTTTCTAATGAAACTGACCTCACATTTTTTCGATTTTTCTGTGATTTGTTATGTTATTTACAACACAACAGCTCAAAGCTGTCGAAATCCAGCTTTATAACTCACTGCATGTTGCCGATTTACCCAATTTAGCTTCAAATTCACACATTAATCAACATTACCTTTTATAATCTGTCAAATGCAGACCCTAGCCTCTAATTTAACACTTCTACTTGAAATAAACTTGTAATTAGGAGCATACCTTTGATGATTAATACTTAATCTTCAAGAATCTAACGTGGATCATCAAAGATTGAGGGATTAGCCTTAAGTGGGTGTAAATCGCACCTTCCAGTGTGTGTGAATGATCTGGAGTGAAAAATACCATTAAAGGGCAAAAATCTTGTTTTTGTACTAATTTGGCCAACAAGTCAACCTAGTTTGACACAGTTGGCAGATTTAGTCCCTCATGCGTATCTTGGACGTTTCAACTCCGTTTTGCACGAAACTTTCCAGGTCTCATAATTGATGTATAAGAGGCTTAAATGTAAAATTTCAGCCTCTAACTCGATCCAGAAGCCCATATTCATTTCTAACTTAAGTAAGTACTAATCCTTAAAATACTATACTAATTTAATTAGACATGCTTAGCAACTAAAATGAGCTTTTCGTAAGTTGGATGTTACACTACTCTAACTAGCGTTTCAATAAGTTGTATTATGTCCATAAAAAATGTACCCGGAAAATAAGCCAACTTATCTTTACCAAATAATGTCTTAATTTGATATCTAAAATGATTTTAATAAAACATATAAATTTAAAAAATAGAATCTATACTATATTATAAAGTATTTGATAAAAACTCTTAAAACCATTTTTATGCATGAAGTACAGTTTATTGATGCATATTACTTAAAGTTCAAGATTACAAGTAAATTATGCATAAATACAACTTATTAAAGCTCAATGTTTGAATTTGTGTAACTAACTGCGGATAAACATAATCAAATAAAAAATAAACATTCCATTTTAAAATCTTATAATTAGGATAATTATCGACTTCTAACAAAATAATTAATTATTATCTTTATAAGAAAATTATATCATTAAACCAAATATAAATTATTTCGTTACTGAACGTAAATTAAATTATAATAAAAATTTCGAATTAAAAAAAAACTATACAAAAAATAGAAATTTTAAATAGTTAATTTGATACTAATATCGATATATCTTTGTCAAAATTTTATGATATCTTCAAATTTGTATTTTATTCAAAAATAAAAAACATTATCGCTTTTTCAAAATCATAAGACCATACTATAACATCGACTGAGATAAAAAATAAAATGAAATATTGAAATCAAGATGTATCTCTCTACATTATGCGAGTACCCTTTTAATATAAAAATAATTTAAATAAAAAAAACACCAATAAGTCCTATAATTTATATCAATGATGTAACTCATATACTCATATATATGACATAAAGTTAATAAAGAAAACAATATTCTCATTAAGTAACCTCCCACTTTTGTCAATATTTCCTAAATGGATAATATATCTTACTTCACTTTATTTAAATATTAAATATATAATTAATTAAAATATTTTTTTAGTCAAGTTTAATTTGGTCCTTGGTGTTTACAATTTTTAACAAAATCATCTCAAATTTTTAAAATTTTGAAAATTGGTCTCTCATGCTATAAACTTCTAACGGTTTTTGTCTTTTTATCGAACGGTCGTTAGGTTTTTCCGTTAAATCCAGTTAAATAAGAGACATTTTTAATTATTTTCT